TTTTTTTTTGTGTGTGTGCGCGTTTATATTTTTTATGCACGTTTGTGAGTGTGTTTGCGTGTATGTTTGTTTATATGTGTGTATTTTTGTTTGTACGCATGTTTGTGAGTGTGTGTGTATGAGTGTTTATGTGTGTGTATATTTGTTTGTATGCATGTTTGTATGTGTGGATGTGTGTGTTTAGATGTATGTGTGTGTGTCACCTGTGTGCAGTCATGCTCTGGTCTCTACAGAAGTGGCTGAGGAATCGTGCATAATAGAGATGCATCACTGCATGCTCTTTCCCCCCGATATACACATCCACCGGCATCCAGTGATCCGCTCGAGACCGCTCGAAAGGCCTGTGGGACCAGCAGAAAACACTCACAGTGTCCAGCAGGAGGCGCTCACACACAAACAGACTCACACACACTCTCCAGAACACTTCACACAGACGTCACATTTAACACACTCTCAAAGGAGACTTGAGACAAAACAATACACACACTCCAACAAACTGTGATCAACAAACACATCACATCCTATAAACACCTGCCGGCAGCACCAATGCCAACCCTCCAGGAACTTCCATGACAACACACATTTAATACACGTATTAAAGTATTATATCATGTTTCATATCATTCAGTATCGATAATTAATGAATATTATTTAACGATCTGTAAGATTTGAGACACCACAGATATTTTGATGTCTTTGACAATACACACCTCAACAGGTGGGAATGCTGGGAAAACTCACTCCTCTCGTTTCCTTCATTTACATTTGAAGCATGCCTTCTGCTCACTCCCCCTCCTCTTCATCTTACACAGAATGGTCATCTCAGAATATGAATGTTCTGAATCAATCCAAGTGACTTTATCTATCATGTTTGATATCATTTGAAATGTCTCAGTGTGACTGGTACAATGATCTCATTCCCTCACAAATAGACAAAATCAAAACAAAAGATATATACAGTGGATCTGGAAAGTATTCACAGCATTTCACTTTTACTACATTTGTTTGTTACAGCCTTATTCCAAAATGGATCAAATTTATTTATTTCCTCAACATTCTACACACAATCCCCCATAATGACAATGTGTGCAAAGAGTTTTAGAAATTGTTGCAAATTTATTACAAGTAAATAAGCTGTAAAATCACATGTACATCAGTATTCACAGCCTTTGCTCAATACTTTGTTGATGCCTCTTTGGCAGCGATTACAGCCTCAAGTCTTTCTGAATATGATGCCCTAAGCTTGGCACACCTGTCTTTGGGAATTTCCGCACATTCCTCTTTGCAGTACCTCTCAAGCTCTATCAGGTTGGATGGGAAGCGACGGTGTACAGCCATTTTCAGATCTCTCCAGAGATGTTCAATAGGATTTAGGTCTGGGCTCTGGCTGGGCCACTCAAGGACATTCCCCGAGTTGTTGTGAAGCCACTCCATTGATATTTTGGCAGTGTGCTTTGGGTCATTGTCCTGCTGGAAGATGAACCGTCGCCCCAGTCTGAGGTCAAGAGCACTGTGAAGCAGGTCTTCATTCAGGATGTCTCTGTACATTGCTGCATTCATCTTTCCCTCTATCCTGACTAGTCTTCCAGTTCCTGCTGCTGAAACACATCCCCACTGCATGATGCTGCCACCAACATGCTTCACCGTAGGGATGCTATTAGCCTGGTGATGAGAGCTGCCTGCTTTTCTCCAAACGTAACACCTGGCATTCACTCTAAAGAGTTCAATTTGAGTCTCATTAGAGCAGAGAGTTTGGTTTCTTATGGTCTGAGAGCCCTTCAGTTGCCCTTTGGTAAATTCCAGGCGGGGAGTGTTTTCCGTCTGGTCACTCTACCATACAGGCCTGATTGGTGGATTGCTGCACAGATGGTTGTCCTTCTGTAAGGTTCTTCTCTCTCCACAGAAGAAAACTGGAGCTCAGACAGAGTGACCATTGGGTTATTGATCACCCCCTGACTAAGGCCCTTCTCCCCTGATCACTCAGCTAAGATGGCCGACCAGCTCTTGGAAGAGTCCTAGTGGTTCAAACTTCTTCCTCTTCTGGATGATGGAGGCTGCTGTGCTCATTGGAACTTTCAGAGCAGCAGAAATGTTTCTGTAACCTTCCCCAGCCTTGTGCCTGGAGACAATCCTATCTCGGAGGTCTACAGACAGTTCATTTGTCTTCATGCTTGGTTTGTGCTTTGACATGCACTGTCAACCCTGGACCCTTATATAGACAGGTGTAGCCTTTTCAGATCATGTCCAATCAGCTGAAATGAGCACAGGTGAACTCCAATGAAGCTAAAACATCTCAAGAATGATCAGTGGAAACAGAATGTAGATGAGCTCAATTTAGAGCTTCACGTCAAAGGCTGTGAATACTGATGTACATGTGATTTTACAGCTTTTTATTTGTAATAAATTTTCTACAATTTCTAAAACTCTTTGTTCACATTGTCATTATGGGAGATTGTGTGTAGAATGTTGTGGAAATTAATGAATTTAATCCATTTTGGAATAAGGCTGTAACAAACAAATGTGGAAAAAGTGAAGCGCTAAATATATATATATATATATATATATATATATATATATATATATATATATATATATATATATATATATATATATATATATATATATATATATATATATATATATATATATATATATATATATATATATATATATATATATATATATATATATATATATATATATATATATATATATATATATATATATATATATATATATATATATATATATATATATATATATATATATATATATATATATATATATATATATATATATATATATATATATATATATATATATATATATATATATATATATATATATATATATATATATATATATATATATATATATATATATATA